CCCCAAAACCCCAAAACCCCAAAACCCCAAAACCCCGATTAGATGAAATCAGATTGGAGAAAATAATATAATTTACTACCAAGCGAATAAATCAGCACATAATGGAAGAAAGAGCAGAAAGCTATGATTTATGCGATGTTCCTCTTGACTACAATGGAGAAGAGAACATTTCGATCAGTGATATGGAGACAAGAATAACCCAACCGAAATATAAAGATATGAGCTTGACTACCAAATCTAATAAAAGAAGGATGAAGAATGACAAACTAGACCAGAGCTATGAGGAACTTAGGCATACCCTAATGACTCCTCCATCCTTACACAGAAAGAATTAAGTCAGACATGCTCTTTCTTTTTCGAACTGATAAAGAGGAACTGAGAAAGTTGAGACAAACACAAAAGCGGGTGATAAAGAGAAGAAAATTAAATAAAATAACCAAAACTTTTACCTCAGACTTGAGTAATATTGGAAAAGAGCATGCTCCAGATCTTACCTCCGAAGACACAGAAAAAGAGCAGGTTAAAATGGTACGAAAGTTCCAAAGAGATGGTAGAATTTCTGAAACTGATAAGAAGACTCTTGTCATTTTGATACTTAAGAATAAAGGACTAGTTCCGAAAATCCGTAAAAATTTATGGATGATACTTACTGAAGCAACCAAGAATGTAAATGATTTCCCTGATTATTATTATTTCCCAGAAGGTTATAAGCCTTTAGAAGGACGAAGAATTCATGGGTCAAATTCTGGACTACCTCAAGTTTCTGAAAGGCATCGTCTGCTTTATTCCTACCCAGACATGCCTGATATTTACGAACAACAGATTTTACTTGACCTTGATAGGACGTTCTCGGATATTCCTGAATTTTGTAAGGAAAATAGCCAGAATAAAAGAATTCTTCTAAACATTCTACTGTCATACACAAAGAGGAACCCCCAGATCGGGTATTGCCAAGGAATGAACTATTTAGCAGCAACACTTTTAAGAGTTTTCGACGATGAAGAATTAGCCTTTTGGGGGTTGTGAAATTTATGAGAATCCATCCTTCCACTAGATTACTATTCACACATGATTGAGGTGCTGGTCGACCAGAAGGTCTTTGTACACTTGCTTCAAGAATTGATGCCAACCTTATATGAGCATCTCCAAAATCTAGGGTTAGATGTGGCTTTAGTGTTGTTCCAATGGTTCATTTGTCTATTCGCATCTCAATTCAATCAACAAGTAACTGAAGCAATCTGGGACCTAATATTCTTAGAAGGTTCAGTTGCTGTTTTCAGGTCATCTTTGGCAATTTTAAGTATAATGGAGGAAGATATTTTGGATGCGAGTGAATTCTCAGAAATTTATCCTATACTGAACACTAAACCTTTCGAAGTCATCAATGAACCTTCAGTTCTCATGAAAAGTATCAAGAAGTTTATCACTCTCAAGCATGAAAGGATAAGGGAGCTTAGAAACCAGTACAGACCTATTATACTTGAAGAGCAAGCTAAGCTTTCTAACTGTCAGAGTTGAATTAGGCCACCTAAGCAGGAATCAATCGGATCCAAAAGGATAAAACTACTCTCAAGATTCCCTCTGCTAGATTTCTTCTTGAAAGATACTCTAACTGAGGAAGGCAAGATATAAACGAGATGACTCTTGACTTATGCGATTGTAAGACTGATACTTAATTTGTAGATAGCTGCAAAGAAAACCCGATCTGTCTGTATGATTTTACTATTAGGTCCAAATCATGCAACTTTCTGGTCTACAGAGTAGGTAAACCCATTGAGATTCTTGGTGAATATTTTTACCAAGAGGAAGCTAATAAGGAGACTCTAAAGTCTCAAAATTGGCATATCTTCACTTCAGATAAGCCTAAGATTTGCAATGATCATAGTATGCATTTTTTGTGTAATTTCTAGCTAAATTTGTTGAAAAAGATGACTACAAGAAAATCCAGCAAAGAAAAATATGCAAATACAGTGATGATGATCTCCTCCTCTGAAGGGAGTCCCATTTATGAACTAGAGAAGACTTCCATCACGAATTCCAGCACCTTTTTAATAAGAATTGAAACACTTTGTTAGATAATGATCTTATTTGCAATTTTAAAGGAGATGAGAAAGCTTGAGAAGCTGCAAAGAACCAAGTTTTGCACACACTTAAAGAAGAAAATCAGAGAAATAATAGCCCTGACAGTCAGAATAATGAAGCATCACAGTCATGTGAAGAGAATCCTGATCACGTATCTAGCATATCTTCTGAGCAAATAAGCCAAAATGATTTTGAGATACCTACAAATGAAATTGGAGGAGGATGGTACTTTCCTGACGAAGAAGTCTTTAAAAATATTGTATGTATTCTAGCTTAACTTTAGTGAGAAATGGACTATATATCAAACCTTGAAAAGTCTTCTGTCAGTCGTTCTTCCGAATTTAACCCTCTAATGGCTCTAAAGAACAGAGAAGAGGGATCATTCGGTAGTACCTTCAAACTAATGAGTTCTGTTTTCTTTGACAAAACGACTTAACTCCTTTTATATAAAATACAAATATGGTAAATTTCAATATTTTCAGAAAAGATAATTTAGCCAAGCCAGGCCCCCTAACCAAGTGCGGCCTGTACCTTAAACTTGTGTCTCTGTAGTCTTTCTGGCCAACATTAATACCTAACCCCCATAATATTAGCTAGATGTTATCTCCAGAAGGGAAATTGGGCCGAAAAGTCACCATCTTCTTCATAATTTTTGTGTTGAGAACTAAAAGATTTTAGAAATTGGTTTCAACCAAGATTGAAGTAGAAGGGGTTTTGGGGTTTTGGGGTTTTGGGGTTTTGGGGTTTTGGGG